CCGGGTTGGGGGGCCCCCCCGCCCCCAGCCATTGTGAGGGTCCCACAGCCCCAGGATGGTGTGAGGGTCCCCCAGCCCCAGCCAGTGTGAGGGTCCCACAGCCCCAGGACAGCATGCAGGGTCCCCCAGCCCCAGCCATTGTGAGGGCCCCCCAAACCCCACCGGGGCCCGCCGAGCTGCCGGCTCTGGAGCGGTGGAAAGAAGGTGAGGCGAGGCCGCACGCCACCCTGCTCCTCCATGGCCCCGCTGCCACCCGCTGAGCGGTTGCCATGGGGGGGCCTGGGCCATCCCAGCCCTGCTGCCACTCCGTGACCCCCCAGGACTGTCAGGCAGTGGGGCTCAGCAGGCTGGGACACAGCAGGGGACAGGGCTGAATGTATTTCTACATGTATTTCTAGGCACAACCAGCACACCCCAATGGCAGCAGCTCTGGGAGCCCTCTCGGCCCTGCCCCGGCACCCCAGATCAACTCCAACCTCTGCCTCAGTGACTCAGTGGCCACCAGCAGTCACCTCCTGCTCTTCACCCAACCACCACAGCTGCACCATCATCAGCCTGGAGGTGGTGAACACCCTCTGTCCTGACATTGAGTACCTTCATGTCCCTTTGATGGACGCTCCCACCGCCCACATCTCCAGCTGCTTCGACTCCATAGCAGCTAAGATCCACAGCGTGGGGATGCGCAGGAGCCAAACACTACTGCACTGCGCTGCCAGGGTGAGCAGGTCCACACTATCTGCTTGGCCTGCCTCCTGAAGCATCGCTCCATGTCCCTGGCAGCTGCCCATGCCTAGGACGAGCCCTGCCGTCCTATCGTACAACCCAACAACAGCTTCTGGCAGCAGGTCATCCACTACGAGTACAAACTCTTCAGCATCAACAGGCTCCAAATGATCAGCTCTCCGTCAGGGATGATACCCAATGTTTATGAAAGTGAAGTAAGAGTAATGCTGCTGCTCTGAGTGCAAATGAGCTGTTGTGACCTCTTGGCAAGAAACCAAGGCAAAGCCAACGGCAGTTCTTCCAGATCCACGCCAGAGCATTGAAAATAAACACTTCATGTCTAAGGGGGTTGGAGCATGAAGTCTCTGCCACTGAAAGTACAGGGGATTAGCAATACAACAGCAAGTAGTGGGTTTACTATAAATCAAATCAATACAGTTTAAGCTATGCAGTTAGTTTTCATTTGTCATTTGTATTGGGGTCCTGACAGTAACTCTGAAACACGTGTTCAGAGAGTTTTGTTTTATTCCAGCACAAACTGTGTTTATAATACAGGACAAACTAGCTGTGAGTCAGGATATTTGGAATGTTATCAACGTTTGTTTTTCATAACTGGGATATGACTTCGGGTTTTGAGACAGTAACCCTAAGTCCAGTCATCTGCTGCATTCCAGAGAGGGCAGGAAGAGCGCAGACTCCAGCATCCCTGGCTGGGAGAGACCCAAGGATGTCCTGCTTTCCACCATCTGACCCTTTCTCTTCCCCGACCTGGTTGCCCCAACCCTTTTTCAGAAGGTGCCTTGGACTCCCTTGGGTGATCCACAGTTACTCGGGTGAGCTGCTCAGAAAGAACCCCATTTCCTCCTATACATGCAAAATCTTCTTAGATGCTGCCTTTGAGCTATTCCCATCCCCGTGGGCTGGGAAGTCAAGGTGGGAGCAGTAAGAGGAACCCTGCTGTCAGTTTGAATCATTGCGGTGAGGTCATCATGTCATTATAAACTAGAAGCCTGATCTGGGCACACTTGGGCATCACTTGGCAGCAAACCACGTATTAATTCTGGTTTAATCACAGCATGAAGTTTTCAGCTCCAGCAACTCTGTCTTGAGTGGCAATAACAGACCTGTTTCAGGTGGGAGTATGGGGCCCCAGGCTGGCATGTGTGTGTGAAGGGTCCCACAGCCTCTGGGTCAGCATGAGGGGGTCCCAGAGCCCCAGTTGGTGGGAGGAGCTGTAACGAGGTGGGTGTCAGTGTCTTCTCCCAAGAAAAAAGTGATAGGATGAGACTAAATGGCCTCAAGTTGCACCAGGGGAGGTTTAGATTGGACATTAGGAAAAATTTCTTCATCAAAAGGGTTATCAAGCACTGGAACAGGCTGCCCAGGGAAGTGGTTGAGTTACCATCCCTGGAGGTATTTAAAAGACGTGTAGACATGGCGCTTACGGACATGGGTTAGTGGTGGACTTGGCAGTGTTAGGTTAATGCTTGGACTTGATGATTTTAACAGTTTTTTCCAACCTAAGTTGCTCTATTATTGTATATCCTACCACTGGCACTTTGGGAGTGCTCCTCCCCACCCACGAAGAGCAACCTGGCAAACTAGCTCTCTGCAGGTCTCAAAGCAGCTCAGGTGATAGCTGCAGTGGGTGACAAAGACCCTTGCCTTCCTTTGAGTGTATTGCTTTTCTCCCAAGGCACCTTCTAGAAGCAGAGCAAAGACCCAACTCCTCATGGACATGTAAGAAGTTCCTCTTGGAAAATAGAACCATTAAAGGAAAGGGACAGAACAAGCTGGCTGGGTGCATGGGTATCACAGAGAGCATCGGAAACATGGCAGACCTCTTGGAGAAGCCCTGTGTGCTGTGTGACCACTTGGGGTCTTGGTGCTTCTCAGACTGGATCTCTGACCAGACAAGGGTGCAGCTGGTGACTGTAGAGTCATCCCCACCCCTCTCTACTCCAGCTTTGCAGTTGAACATCAGGCTTTCCCTCCGGAGAACAATGGTGCTGCAAGCCCTAGCAGGTCCTGCAGATGTTCCCAAGATATTCTCTTGTGCGCCAGCTGTGGAGGGCACCACTGGCTGGATCCCAGGCACAGATACCTGCTGTCCAAGGGAGGGGAGACCAGGGCTTTGCATATCTGGAAATGGATAGAGGGTCCTTGAAGTGGGAGTCCTGACTACCTGGCAAGTCCATGGCGATGAGGCAGGTCCAAGGCCAAGGTGGGAAGCTGGGTCAGAGTCCAGATCCAGCTCAGCAGCGTACACGGCCAAGCACGGGCATGGCTGCAGCATAGCATAAAGGGTGAGCATCTTCATTTGAATGCAGCTCTCAAGAGAGGTGGGAGGAAAGGGAGTGGTGATGCTGCTGACAGCTCCTTCTTGAACACCTCTGCCTTCACAGCCATCAGAATCCGGGTGAGACACCTGCACCTGACACCTAAACCCACTGAACCAAGCTCTCGTTCTGGCTTAGGGTGCCACTAAGGCACCATCTATGTTTCACAACAGCCTGTTGATCACTTAAGTTTTTATATAGTGGTCTTATGTTATGCATACAGTAATTAGCACACTATTATAACTGCCTTAAACATTTGCATCTTAGACCCCTACTTTATGATGTAAAGTTATGTTATAAAAACAAAGTATATTACTTTAAAAATGTCTTTAAGCTCATGTGATTTAATCTTTTAGAAACTCAGCTACAGGCAGTCAACAGCCTTCTCAGAGCAGAGCAGTGAGCCTGTGCCATAGAGAGAGAGCAATAAAGTCACCAGTAAAGCCAGCCTGCCACAAAATGGTTAAGAGCAAATTCGGGGGGGGGGGGGTG